CCGCCCCCATGCCCCAAAAAAACCCCTAACCCTTCATCCCCAAACCCCCCTCCCCTCCTCCACATCATACACCAATGTACTGACGACCGCCAAATACGCGCGTCACAGGTGCCGAAACAATAAATAGAGGACGCAGGAATAAATAAATAAATAATTTAAATGAATACATACAATACGTAAATAAATAGCAACAAGGTGTGTATATACTCACATACACACCTTCACCAGAAGACACCAGGTTCCATAGGGGCTATTTTATACAGCCACGAGGCATACAGTATAATGTAACACAGCCTCAGGTCGGACCAAGACCACGTTATTACAACCATAACGCAGACTGTACGGTTTGTTTCTTTAAAGCTATAGCAACCCCCGAGAGCAGAAGTAATCTCATTGGTTCACTTAAAAATCAGCGGGCGGGGCCTAAACGTTAGCTAAACTGGCAAATTCCAAAGACTAAAGAGGAACTTTTGTTACAAATATAAACAAAACATAAACGATGATGATTGGTGTTTAAAATGTATTCGTGATTCTGGACCGTCAGTGGTTCACTACACATGAAACAAGTGATTTTATCTCTTAAATGTTTAATTGTTTTTACCCCAGATTTAAGATTTATTCACTAATTAGACACAGCCAGGCTAGCTGTTTACCTGTTTCCAGTATTTAAGCTAGGCTAAGTTAGCTTAAACTTCATTATTTACCGAAACAGACATAAGAGTCTCAGCAAATTAGCATATTTCCCAAAATGGCAAACTATTCCTTCAACCAGTTAATTAATAATTTTTAGCCATTGGACAGGAACGGGCCATCCAGCCTTTAAGCTAGGCCAAGTTAGCAGGCTGCTAGTGCTAGATTCATATTAAACGCACAGATATGAGAGTGGTATCAATTTTCTCATCTAATTCTTAGCAAGAAAGTGAAATAAAGTATTTCCCAAAATGTTTAAAGGATTTCTTTATGCATTTTGTGTGATTTACTTGTTTATTAATGGCTTATTTATGTAAAACCATCATTTAATTTAGCCAAACTGCTTGGCTTATTATTTTCAGTTACGTTTGAAAATCAAACGTACGTAACAGTCGTCTCTTAATATGTACTTTAAATGAGAACTATTGAGTTCTGATTTGTCATTACATTAGAAACAGCCAACATGTATTCAGTGGTGCCTGAACCGAAGTTTATCCAAACAATGAGAATATTTCTGCTTTCAGAGGCGTCATGTCTCTGTCCGAGAACGATGTGGACGTTAACTTCAGGCAGGTAACGTGGCCGAGGTCTGACTCTCATTTAGGTGAAAAGGGAAAATGGAGCATAAACACTGTACAAGTCCCTCATTGAGGTTAGAATACATGTCGCCATAGAGGGCAAATCAGCACAAAAGACAACAAAAAAAAGACAAAAAGCAAAAGGTTCAAAAGAAATGAAAACATTCAATACTCAAAAAAGTCTTAAAGCACTTTGTAATTTGAAGAGGAGTACTATACAAATATAGCTTAACCAAGTCAAAAGATAAAAAATAAATACATTAAAAGAACAATAGAGGGGTGTCAGTTAACATAGGCTCACTGCAGCGTGAGAAAAAAGCCAGCAGGACGAACCCCCCCCCCCCCCTTTTATTTAAATTTCTTTTGGAAACCATCTCAAAACAGCAGACGTAAAGCGGTTCAGTTGCATGCAGCTCACAGACTTTTCACAGGCGGACTCAGAAAACCGTGTTTCAGACTCAGAATACAAAGACAAAATGAAGGAAATAAAAGAAAAAAACACTGAACACTTAAAAATTACAATTACAGAAAAGCAGGTTATGTGGCGGAAAGAGAACGAGAGAAAGACTATTAGCTTGTTTTACTCGGTTTGTGATTGTATTGTTGCTGTCGCATATGTGCTTTGGCAATGGAAGAGATGTCTAAGTTCTAAAGCTCTTCAGATAGATAGATAGATAGATAGATAGATTTTCCTTCAGAGCCATCTCCTCCACTTATTGAAACATTTTATTGTTAGATCACCATTTATTGCCTATTCAATGTTTATTGACTGTTGATAGATTATATTTTTTTCATTATTACTATTTGTGTCCAAAACACCATTATTAGCTTTTAGAGAGGAGCTCTTAAACTATTTCCCACCTCCTACCAAATATTTAATAAAATATTTCTTCTGTTAAATTATTACTATTGTCAACTAACTTGTCAAGAACCGGACCGATGTGACCCATCGTATGGCTCTGACACGTAGCTTAAGAAACACAAACATTGCAGCTTGCACAAAAGTCCCACTACTTGAATTTTTTTTTGACAATGGACTTAGCAAAAAACAGCTACAGTAGCATCTTGACACTTTGTTGTGATGGAACACGAGTACTTAGAATACAGCTTCAGAATACAAAAAATGAAGTATCTGTACATTTTAAACTTTTAGTTTTTATGTATTCTGCTCAACACTGCATCACAAAAACGCAAGTACGGGAATGTGAAGCGAAAAGGCTAGCTGGTTAGCCACAACGGGCACATTAGCATTAGCCATGCTAGCACAGATTCCTGCCGCTGTTTGACGACGTAGTAAATAATGCCTGGATAGAAAAACCCTAAGCTTTTTGATTTTATAATATCCATTAAATTTCTGTTTTAATTTGAAAAATGTTAGCATGGTAAATGATAGAATAATGATTCTATCCATCTGACTGACTTCAGCCTCCTACGCCATAACTGGTCTTTGAAACTATTCAGTTTTGTTATGTACAATGGAGTCGATAAAAACCCAGCACCATACTGAATTTGAACAGATCTGTTAACATTGCTAGAACATTTCCATTGCTGTTGAACTCAAATGCAGTTGTCACTATTTGTTTAATCTAAAATCAGTAATGAAGTGCCAATTATTAAAGAGCCTTTAACGTTAAATAAAACTGACCTTTTTCATAAGGTCTTTGTCAGAGTAGACTCCTTAATACTGGCCTTCGAAAGAATACTGCTGGTACATGCACACATAGGTAGGCAGCACTTTGGTGGAGTAACAGTCCCACTTTATACTGTATGTGATGCTAACAGTTACCACTAATATTGACTGCTTTTTTAACCTAATAGGAACTTGAGGGTTGAGGGTTCTAGAATATTCTAATGAGAACACTGCAGGATGTTTATAAGGTTCCCAAAGGTTCTATTATGTTTAAAATTTCTTCAGCTCAGTTCAGATCAAAGATTCACGACGAGACGAAACCGATTGAGAACTTTGCAGTGGTGTGCACTGGCCCCTCTCAGCTCGACTCGAAGTGGCTGATGGCCTTGCTCAGCTTGTCTCACCAGGGGCTGGTTTTAGAACTTAAGGCACATCACCTGTTTCAACAGCCAATCAGCTCGTAGCATAGTCAGCTGGTCAAGTTTTTGACAGAGGAAAGAGAGGATCACCTCATCAATTTGTTTAAGGAACTGCCATGTCTGTATGAAATGACCCCCCTGGGTATTTCGTTGAAGCACCCATGGACGGTTCCAAATTCTCGACCCCCTCGGTTTTTTATGTTTTCGCCATTCGATCAATACTAAAAATGTAGCAAGTAACACACTATCCTCATTCATATTATAAGATACTACAAATGATATCCAGCTACATAAAAAGCCTAAAAAGCTGGCAGTTAGGACAGAGGTACAGAGAGTCGTTGCTATAAAGGCGATATACGTCTCGTCTAGTCATATTGGTTAAACTGGCAGGTTTCATAATGTTGCAGACTGGCACTTTGCAGATAGCTGCAAGTTTCAACTTGTCTTGTTGCGAATCTTTTGTCTGAACTGAAGATTCTGTAACGATCAAAAATTTCTAGATTATTCTGTGGGTGAGAATACTGTCAAGGTACTATAATGTTCAGTTATTCTAATACTTGGGTTGACAAACTTTACAGAGACATTTCAGTTGATGTAATGTTCTGAGAGGTACAGAATGTTGCCAAGCTTCTAGAATGTTTAAATAAGTCTAAGACATAGAGATATCAAGAGTGTTCTGAAGGTTCCAGAATTCTGTCAGCACTCTAGAATTTCTGCGAGTTCTAGAATGTTTAGTAGAGTTAAGGGCAGTGGGAAAATCACATGATGTCTTAATGTAGGATTTGTTGCGGACACAATGAGTATTATTCATGTTAAAACAGGACTTTTAGAGAAGCTACCACTGTTCAGTCTTGCATGCAAGAGCCACGAATAAGACAAATCAACAAGCATCTACTCCACACAGTAAACACAAAACACTGTGAATGGGTAACTCAAAATAGTATACAGAGAAAAAACAAGCATCTTTTCCTCTATGCCTGCGGTAATAACCCATGACTCATCTGTGCGCCAACCTGGTGAAAAGTTCTGTTCAATACAACTGGCCTGTGCTGGTTGTGTTAGCATATCGCTGCTGTCGGAGAAATCATGTACCCCAGAGTTTTCATTTTCATCGCTTGAGCTGACATGTTTAATGATGAGTTTAATGAGTTTCTTGACCCTCAAACCTGCTATAATTCCCATTATAAGATAAACAGGTTTCAAAACAAGCGACCAAGTATTCTCTTCTTCATTCTGGAAAAATCTACTTGTTGCAGAAACGGCTTAATTCTGACGACGTACTCCCGAAAACCAAATTTCACTGGCATCTTGTCCCTCAAATCTTTGATTTGGCTGGTTCATGCTTACAGCCAGAGATCTGATGCAGACTCTGAGAAAAGGCAGAGTATGTAACAAGGGTACTCAAACAAAACCAGGAGGGTCTGATGACCTACTGTAGCTCTGGATCATGGGTTAGAGGTCTGTTTACAGTATGGAGCCATGCTGAAAGGCAGTGCTAGCCAAGGAAAGAAGGAACAAAGAAAGACAAAGTTTAGAGAAATCTAGGGCTGAAGAAAAGCACAGGAAGGCAAGTCAAGGTAGAAAAGACAGAAGTACTTTCAGAGAAAGACAGCAAGAAACTTAAGAAGAAGACAGTATCACAAAAAAGCTGTTAGGCAGTTTAACTGACTAGCAGGAATTTGTGCTGGCTTGATCATTATAGAGTAAGAACAGGTCGAAACGCACATACAGACACATACATGCACATACAGATACACTGTGCCTTATTCGCAAGTCTCCAAAGCCTCATTGGTATCGAGCGCTGCCCGGCTGAACGGAGCACTACTGAGTGAGCACTGTGCTGTAAAAGATCAGCATCTCCTCATCTTCTCATCTCTTTCAGTCCCTCTCTTCTCCCTCTCTTCTGCATCTCTCACGCTAAAATCCTCTTGTCCTCCGATCACTGTCCAACTGCGTCGCCTCGTCCACACCATCTCCGTCTCTGTTGCAGTCATTTTGGTCCGTTTTGTGAAAGCAGAATCGCACAGAAGCACAGAAGAAGAAGAAGAAGGAGGGCGTGGTTTGTTGTTTTACGCAAATACAGGCTGTTTTCGGGGTGTCTGGATTGGTAGGGGGGAAGGGTCAGGTCATTGGCGGGACCTAATGAGGGAGCGGCACCAGGATATCCACATAGTTGATTGGGAAGAATCCCGACTGGCCGTTGATCATGCCTTCGTACCAGTTGTCGTCGATCTGGTTGGTCAGGGTGATGACGTCGCCCTCTTTAAAGCCCAGCTCGCCCTCATTCTCGGGTTCGAAGTCGTAGAGTGCTCGGCAACAGGGCTGGTCCATGGGGGCTGCGAGGGGACAGAAACAAAAAGTATAAGGCAGGTTTAGTCAGGTTTTGTAAATGAAGTGCTACGACCTCTAGTGGCCATATTGTAATAAACCCCTCACTGAGTTGACTCTTTTTGAGCCATTTATGGGTCCAATTTTTGGGTTTATTGACGACCTTCTAATATATTTATAAGAACACAACTTATCAAGCCAAGCATTGCTCAAATGAAGAGCAGTTCAGGGAAAGTAAGAACATCATTCAGAAATATTGCAAAAGTTTTAGTCAGCCAAAGGAGCTTTCAGTTTCTGAGCTGTCTTTGTATCAAGTTCGACACAAGTTCCAATAGGACTCTGTAGTTGACAGAGGTGGAAGTTATGACGGCAATATTTTTACCCTAAAGAAGAATGGTAGAAATGTTTTCTGAATTGCCTTAAATACTTCTATTCTCCGGTTCTACCAAGGCTTGAATGAAAAATCAGAAGGACAAGGATACCAGGTTAGAAAGTAAATACTATATAATGACTGTTTCCATTCTGTTGTGGCCTTTAGTTAGCTAATTTATAGGATTATGTGCCGCTTTTCATTTTGCAAACCATTTGCTTTTGTGCGTTTGGTCTGAAACCACAATAAGTCTATGACGATCAATGTGCTCTTAAATCAGGGTTAAATGAAGGACTATTGAAAACCATTCTGAATGCAATTTAAGACCTATTTTATCTCCATACTGGCAAAACAAATACAAAGGATATGAACGAAAATCTGTATTAGTTCCATGTCGGTTTTGTTTTCTATTCTTGCAGCATGATCAATACAATCCCAAAAACACATTTAAAAGTAAGACTGGAAAAAACATATTTAAGACATTTGACAGCCTAAAATCCAAATGATTGGATATTAAACTTTTTAAGACCCAATGGACAAAATGTGCCATGATATTCCACAAGGTCTCCTCAAATCCTTATACAATTCTGATCAGACACATATACAGTAAAGATCTGCCTTTTTCAGTGTGCCTTGTGGCATTTATTTCCACAATAATGCACGTAATGCTGGGATCAGACTACAAGATATGTTTCATATTAGAGTCCTAAATTCTTGCCGTGACTTGGCCAAGAAACATGGCAGTCACTGTTCCCCCTGATAGCACCAACAACAAGTTGCTGTTTGGCAGGAAACATTCAGACATACTGGTCTTTTTGTCGGGACCTCAAGAGGCGTCCCAGATGCTGCTTTGTTTGACTTCCATTATGACACACTGCACTGAATAAATTGGGGAACTGCAATTGTTTCTATTGCTGGCGGCCCACGTCTGCTGGGTCGGGACACTCATTCAACAACCCAGAATGCACTTCTCTACCTGGTGATCTTCCGGGCGATTTGGCAGAGTGTATCCCTCCGTTGTGGCTCTCGCTGGGGGGCAGCAGCTCCAGGGTCATTCTGGGTTTAGGAGTGTACTCCTTCCTCGGTTTACTGGACACTTCTTTTATCCTGGACAAAGGCCAGACACAGTTATAAAAGAAAGGGTTGTCTAACCACACTAATCTATTTCAGTTGGTTTATTTTTGGCAGACAGATAGATCAATACCTCTCCTCCATCTTGCTGGAGAGCTGTTGCAGGATTTCAGCAGAGCGGCTGTGGTATTCCAACTGAGCTTGAACCAGCGCTGCCAGCTGGCTAACCTGCTCTATCTACAACACACACACACATATACACACACATGGTTTTTACACTGCACGAACCCTGTCCTGTACCCATGCTGGGCCTGAGTCTGGCTTGGCACAGCACGGCACAGGATTGCTGCCCTTTGTTTTTCCACTGCAGTTTTGAACACACTGGGATCCTGTCGAAAACTGAGTGTCACTATAGCAACAGAAAAACCACGTCAACATTAACAATAGACATGTTGAACATTTGATTATGTTTGTGCCCTTTGAAGCTGTATTGTTATGTTTTGTTCGTTTTTAAAATACTTACTCATTGTGGTTTAAAAATTATGTTTCTGCAGTTTCGCTGAGGGCTTTATCTAAAGAGTTTCCTGACTTGTTATTTCATGTCTTTTCAGTGTTTTTAGATTATTTAACTCTGTTTTCTGTAAATTTCCACCATCGTTAATCTTGATGGTGGAGGGAGACATTTATTGTTCTTCCAACACAGAAAAACTACTTTAACAAATTCAACTGATATAAAATAATTGTATTTCTATTAATGCAGACTTCAGTTGCAGTGCCTACTCCACTAATGTATTAGCCGATCAATCGTCAACTATTTTGATAATTGAGTAATTGTCATTGACACTTGATGATTCCAGCTTCCCCAATGAAGAATTTGCTTTTTCTTTTCATCTTAGGTTGTAGTGAATTTAATATCTTCGTTTTTGTCTTGTCAGACAAAACAAGACTTTTGATGACTGAAATTGTGGTGTTTTTTGATGCTGTATAGACCAAACAAGTCGAAATCAGTCGAGATAATAGTAGGTAGATTAACTCATGAGGAAAATAAACAGAGAGACGGTCCTCACATCGCTCTCCAGCAGGTTAAACATGCTCTGCTCTGCGATCTCTTTGCTCTCGTCGAACTTCTCCAGCGCCTGTTTGATTTCGTCGTCCTGGACTTTCCCCTGACGCTTCTTCTTGTAGTCGAAGTCCAGACGCCGGCCCTCCATCTTCTTCAAATGGTGCTGCAGTGGAGGGACAAAGCGGTGAGCAGCTGTTGCAACTATTCGATAGCAATCTAACCATTAACAGGCGTTTTACTCACCTGTATCTCTTTTAGGTCTTTATCGTGGAGGTTCTGCAGCGGGTCGATGAAGTTCTGTTTGACCTCCATGTCGAGAGCGTCCTTCACCTCCCCGAGCTCCTTCATCGCCTCGCTGGCGTCGATCAGCGCCAAACCTGGAAGGAAGTGATCAAGTGTAGATAGAGAGAGAGAGGAGCAAGGGTTCAGAGCAAGAAAACATGGAGAGAGGATGAATAAATTAATTGTAAGAAAGCCAAGGAGATTGTATTGTTATAGATGTTTAATAAAGCCAGTGATCAGAGTGTGTTTAGTGTGTGTTGGTGTACCTGTACTGCAAACTGTAATTCATTTTGACATCCTCTGTCCTTTTCTAGAGGTTTTGTAGTTAATTGCTTTTTTTCCCGGTGACTCACAAGTCTCACAGAAAGCCTTGTATAAATGTCTGAAAACACGATTTGACCTTGGTGCACTGAATCTCTATTCAAGAAGTCTTTTAACAGTGGTGGTGGAAAATATGTGTTCTACTTACTTGTACTTATGTTCAGTACTTCCGCTGCTTTCCGCCACTGCCTTTTATCCTGTGTGCCATTACTGTGGTGAGTGGTAAGTAACATTTCTACAACTTATTCTTATTCAAACGATTTAATTTTCAATGGAATAAGTTGGCTTTGAGTTTGAATGAATTATACAAAACAATTGCAACAATTTCTTTTGCAATTTTCTCTTTCTGCCTAAAATCATCACAACATGCAATGCAATGTTTTAGAAAAGCTGTTGTGAAATCAGGCATTTTAGGCAGCAACGCGAGAGCCTGGAGGGACTGGCTTTTGTTAAAATGAACTGAAATTTAATTGAATGTGTTCTTCTACAGTCCACCCAAATGCAAATATCTAAATGTTTGGACAACCAGTGAGCCTTGATTTGGTCATTTGTAGGTCAAAAACGTCTGGACATTGACTTGGATAAATGCAGCTGAAAAGTTTCTGTTTTCATGGTTAAGTTACAAAAGTTTCAACAGTATGTCAGTGACTACAATGTAAAACTGTGTAACTGCACAGCCACATAAAATATATATTCATTACTCATATCCATGTTCTGTTTAGGATTTGAACATTTTGAATTTTGAGGTTAAAATATCAAAGACGACACTGTGATAGACGTGTGTGGGCATGTGGGGAAATAATTTGTTATAAAAATGTTCCCAAGTTTTCACCAAATAATAATTTAGCCATCATCTGTCGCTGTTGATATCAATTGTCCAAAGCAAATATTAGAAGTTAGCTGAAAAATGCTAAAAAGTGATTCCAAATACATGTAGAAGCATTAATAATGGTGATTTTTGTTTTGTTTTTTGGACTATGGAGGTGATGATGTTGCAGGTTAGCCGTTTCACCTGTTGGCTGTATGGTTAGCTTAAATTTTGAGGGTTAGCAAGCTAACAAGTAAACTGAGATTACCTTATCAAGTTTCTGCAGCTGTTAGTAGGAACAGTTAAGAAGAAGACAAAAGAGCTACATTTTAAAATGAATAACATTCATTGATCTTACATAACATGACTCCGTCCACTGAGGTTTGACTCAATCAGTAGAGCTGTGAAGTGGGAGGAGATTCAGAGTACTTCTAATGCTTCGCTTGGCTAGCTCACAGGTATTGTCGTATTCTAAGTCGTCTGAAAATGCTAGTGTTTCTATGTAACGTAACATTGAGAGTATGATTGAAATAAAAACGGGGAAAAACACTTCACAACTCTCAGCACCATTAATACCACAAAACCTAAATTAATACTATCAAATTGTTTATTTGAAGCAGTATGAACATTACTTGTATCCAATAACATATCAATTACAAATCATTAATTTGATAATTTGATAATTTGATGCTCATGGTTTCCATAAAATGAGCTCAACAATTGAATTGTGGAGAATCAAACTGATGTATAGCATTGCCATATTGACAAGTTTAAACATTTATATTTAGGCAATTCAAGCAGAACTTCATATCAGGCCTTCATTCGTCAATACATGTAGCCACACCAGGCTAGTAAAGGAGACCAGCCTCTAATTGGGACCCTGCTTTTAACTGAAGTTTTACGTTATGTGTACATTCCCACTTACCGAAGGTGGACTCCTCCCCTAACTCCCGTCCGAACTTCAACATGGCATCGCCCAGGACGGTCTCAGCCTGCGGGTACCCAGGTCCCTTTTCCTGCCCTCGGATCTTTGACATGGTGTTGATCATAGTCAGCTTGGCTCTGGACGCTGTGGAACAGATAATGAGTGACTGATGTTGTTTTAAGCTATATGTTGAGGGGGTTGGGTGCAGTTTAACTGTGTGTTTTATACCTGGATTGGGTTGTAGGTATTCTGTAGTTTTGGTCATGATGTCCAACACTGCTCTGCTGGTGACGTCCACCTTCTGCAGAGGGAAACGAATCAGAAAAAAATTGTGGGAGAAAAGCAACATAAACCTACTTAATGATGAATAAATCTCTATGTTAATGTGCATTCATAGATAGGAATGAGGCAGTTTGCAAATGCATTTTGGGAAATACATTTATTTGCTTTCTTAGAGTTAGATGTTCAATTTGATACCACTCTCGTCTGTGTGTTAAATATAAAGCTACAGGCAGCAGCCGATTAGCTTAGCTTAGCTAGCTTTTTATCTAAAAGGGTTGATGTAAAAATGGTCATGTCAGTTTGATATTAGGCCAAATGCCAGATCGAAAATACAGGAACATAATGAAAGCGAGAGAGGAGTTCCAAATCAGTGAGTTTTCCACAACACGTTCCTGCAAATTTTTCACAATAAAAGCCTTATTAAGAAATGAATTTAAAAAAGGGCCCACTGAAACACTAGAGGGCTTTTAATTTGAAATGGATACAGAAGTGTTCAGTTTGTATTAACAGGAGTGGATCAAAATGAGGTTTCATACATACCTTTCAATCTTCTATGTTACTGACTGTACTGACAATATAACATCAAATATGGGTTATTGAATAAGCTAGTTTAGAAAAATCGTATAAATCGTATATATTTATTACAATTTTAATGCTTTATCAGGACTGTGTCAGTTTGGTTTAATCAGATTTCCTTGACAGTGACCATACAACCCTCTGACTATCATCATATTCTCATCAAAATGTTGCTGAATCCTGATTGGTTCACAATCTTTCATGTGAAATAACAAACTGTTCTAACTTTGGCCAAAAATAGTGCGTTCATAGAGGACTTCATCACTCAGAGTAAGAAACTGATTGTGAACGTATGTTTTCAGGGTCTTTAAGACAGAATAAAACACAAAACATTCACATTTTCTTAAATAAAAATGTAACAATTGTGTAGAAAGGGGAATAAACTAAAGTACGGTTTGTCAATGTATCAAAATATATTTTAACTTTTATGTTTTGATGTCTCAATATGTGCTGCTGTGGTTTGATTTCTAATTAGAATTAGTTTGTGTATTTTGCCTGAATACATTACCTTTTCCATTTCTTTGAAGTCATCATCTAGTTTGGTTCCTTCTGCCCCGCCAACCTTCTCACTGACTTTCTGTAACAGGAAACACAAAGTAAGAGAGAAAAGAGAGGGTTAGAATTTTCTGTCCTAAAATGACATCAATGTCTTAAATCAACGCTGGAAGAAGAAAGGACTGGCTTTCAAAGTCTTAATGGGAGAGGAAAACTGAGAGTTTCACGCGTTGAGAGAAAAGTGAGTGTGGAGAAAAAAGAAAACGTAGGAAAGAGAGAGGTAGACAGTGATAGCGTTACGACATTAACCTCGTTAGACGACAAAATGAATAATCCAACATTAGATGAAAACAAGGAATGTTTGAGTTCTAACCTCTGTGTTATTGTTCAAGCCATTATAATGTAATGAAGTGAGTCGATGACACTCAATTCATTCAACGAGCAGATTTAATCCCTCGACAGCCTCTTCATCCTTCTACAATTACAGTATGATCCTTCACATTTCACACACAAAGCTGCTGTTGCTTAGAGAAGTATGAAAACCAGAAAATGACATAATGGAAAAGTGGTTGTGTAAGAAATAACCACAGATCTGGCAAACTCAGCCATTTGAAGTCCACATGAAAGAGCTGTTTGTGTCCGCATATTTACGTATTTCCTGTTAAACAGTTAGGGAGCCGGTGGTAGCCATTAGTGCTGAATGTGTGTTACGAGTTCCCCGTGAACAGCAGGTCCAGACGGGAACTGAATGCAGCATCTGATGCGGACTGAGGACAGGTAATAAAGTACAGACGTGTTTTTGGGCGATTTTGGCTCCTGTAAGTCAGCTAACATTAGCTGCACAAGCTAGCTAGCTAACTAATGAATCTCTGCTCTGTGTCGCTAAAAGTCGAAGATTGATTGAAGGTGAATGTCAGGATATTATTGCGTTGGCAATCAGTTAGTTCATGCTGACCGTAAGCCACGTCAATTTAGTTTTACAGGAAGACACAACGATTGGATTTTGATATAAAAATACAAAGAAATTTAGTTTTTATGAATGTTTTTGGCATAAATTGTTAAATATTGGGGACAATATAACTTAAGATGTGATCTTAAAGGGTTAAAATGACAAAAGAGTTATCCAAAGATCTTCTCTAGACCTCCGTGAGCTAACAAGCTTTTGGGTATGTAAACAGGTTCGTCTCTACAAACGAGACACAGCCGGGCAAATAAAGTCGTCCCAGGAGAGCAGACTCATCAATATCGTAGCCTTTGATTGATTGATCGCATTCAGACTTCCCAACCTCGGGTACGTGTCTGTGTCATCGTGATCCCAGAAAGTGCTGCAGAGTGACACCTCTCGCTTTCTAATCGCCTCAGGTTGCAGTGAGGGAGGGAGGGAGGAGAGTGGGATTTTCCACAATCGTGACTCACATCAGACACCCACGCATTAGTGGGCCACACACACACACACACACACACATACACACACACACTTACTCATGCAGCAAATACCGATATATATAAATGTATTCAGCTTGGACATACAGCGCTGACAGGAGACGACTGCAGAGGGAGAAAACAGGAAAAGTAGCCGCATCAAGAACATAAACGCTGATAATTATAATAATAATAATAA